GACCGCTGCTCCTGCCTTCCCCCCTTCCCCTCTACCTCCCGCCCACCATTCCCCTCCGCATACCTGTACCGATCTCTCCCTCCCTCGGAACTCCCGGATTAAAACCGACCTAATATACCTATCTCGTGCGATCGTGTTTCAAGATATTCTTTGCATTGCAAAAACTGAAAGCAGAATCCTCATCCTCAATTAAAAAAGATTTTTCATCGGAATATTGATTACCGTAAATGCAATATATAGCTTTGGTCGTCCGATCACAAGTTGTAAAGATTTCTGAGTGCATTTCTGTACTCTTAGATTCGCGCATGCGACGCGAATGGGAGCTGTCCATCGAGAGTACAAATGATCCACCTGAATACGAACTCTTTATATCGTTTATAAAGCAACACATGCATACGTTAGAGATGATCAGCGTATTAAAAGCTGAAACTGTTCCGCCAAAGTCGCACAAACATTCAGGATGCGCCGCACGCGCGCATCATGTGCAAGGTAAAGAGACGAAGCCCGGTCGGTTAGAATAACACGTCAACAATATAATGATACACATATATTACAATATACATATATACATATATTCTCTCGAATCTCCACGACCAGTACTCCAGACAGATGATGGTCCTATTCTCTCGATGGATGCAATAGACATCATTTTGGGAGCAGACATCTATCCTCTCATTATGTGCAAGGACCTGCGAAAAGGAAATCATTAACCAATTGCTCAAAAAACTGTCTTTGGTTGGATATTATCTGGAAATGTTTCCAGCAATGTCCACAGTAATCATGTGCAATCTTACCACTGCATGGTTGACGAATCGCTTTCTTCATTGGTATGAAGGTTTTGGGAGCAAGAAGAGCTTCGCCCCTTTCACTCACAAAGCTTGATTGCGAAGACCATTTCGTGCGAATACAAGAGGAGAAAATAGTCGCTATATGGTTCGACTGCCGATCAGAAAACCTTTGCCGAGTTTAAGAAGTTCTCGCGAAGCAGCATCACGGATTGCATGGAGAGGCAAATTAAAAGAAATGCAGAATTCTGTAATAAATATAAGGAATTCATGCAAACATTTAAATCATATGTCAAAATTTAAATCATCTGTCAAAGGTGCGAAGTGGTAGTACATCACATAACAGAGTGTTACTTGCCTCATTACGGCGTCCTGCGCGAGTTAAGCCTAACCAACCAAACTCCGAGTAGTCTTTAATAGCTTATGAAGATGCAGCAGGCAATTGTCTCCTTGTAGATCAGAATCTATTGCTCACCTTGACGGATGTGCTTCTCCGTTGGCACCGATATGTCATAGTAGCAGAAAAGACAAATATCTTTTCACCCTGATGATAGAGATCTTCAGCGGATCTTATAAAGAGAAAATAAAGATGACATGTCAGAATACACGCTAAACACTGTTACATACGGCTTGGTATGTGTTCCACTCCTTGCTGTAAGAACAATCAAGCAGTTCGCTCACGATGAAGAAGGTATGTTGTACCCCGGATGGGCTACAACGTTAATTTTTAGAGATAGTCGGGTTCGTTAAGCCTAAGGAGTTGGGACTCCGAGCAGGATCAAACGAATGGAAGGAAATCTTCTTGAAATCACTAACACACTTTCTTTATGTTACGTGGTTTATTTAACAATTGCACAATTTCTTGGATTTAATATTGCTTATATTATTTCTTTCACACACGGTTAAACGTCGGCGGCGCGTATCGCGTTACTCTGGCGGCCGTCGACCGAGTATGTTACCTGAGACGTTGATAGTACGGCTCGCGTGAACTTCGCTGTGCTCGTGTAATATCTTGCGCGATAATTATAATGACGATTCCGAACGACACGGTATGTTTGATTGTTTCCCGACTCTGTCTATTACGCCTTGTGTAACCGGTTATATAGTCTAATCGATGCCTGGTCAGCATTCTGATCGATTGCGTCGGTCGGTTGCGTGATATTGATTAATCAATATTACGCTCGATTTGATCATCAAATTTAGGAATTTGCTGATAGGCTTTTTCGCAATGTTCTCGCGATGCATTTCTGCGGTCTTTCGAAAGACTGGTCGCGATTTCGGCGGTCACACATTTGTGTCGTCTTTCGAAAGACTTTTCGAGGTTCATGCGATCTAATTTTGTTATCATGCGGGCTACTTTTATTATTGGTTGTAGACCTGGCTACAACAGGTAATTTTTCTCAAGGAGTTGTAGCCCTATGTAAGAACATTTACGTTGACGATGTATTAACGGTAGCCGATTCAATCCATAAAACACTGGAAGTGTAACATCAATTGATTAGTATATGCAAGGCAAGTAGCTTTCCGTTAAGAAAATAGACAACTAATCACATCGACTTTCTTACCGGCATTTCAAAGGAAGATCAGTTATCGTTGGATCACAAGTCATGAATTGTACAAGAAGGCCATCATTTCATGCTAGGCTTTCTATAGAACTCCACCAACGACTGCTTCACATTCTCTATTAAGCACTCGCCTATCGAAGCAGTCATCAAAAGAGCCATTCTATCAAAGACAACTCAAATATTCGATCTGCTGGGATGGCTGTTCCCATCCACCGTGCGTACTAAAATAGCTCTCCAATCAACCTGGCTTCTGGGATTGGATTGGGACGACCCGCTGCCTGAGCAACATACAAATCAATGGTTACAGTTTCAAAGTCAATTACAATTATTAGAAAAGGCTAGCATACCTCGCTTTCTGGAGAAGGAAACTTCGAATCAGCAGAAAGAACTCCACGATTTCGCCGATGCCTCTGAGCGAGCTTACGCAATGATCTTGTACTTGAGAGCGAGGCAGGACGGCTTCAGAACAGTGTCATTGATCATCGCCAAAAGTCGCTCCGTTGAACCAAGTCTCATTGCCGCGTCTGGAATTGTGTGTGGTTCATCTCCTAGCTAAACTCACTCGGTACGTAAAAAAAATCTTGGCTCGGTACGTAAAAAAAATCTTGGCTCTCGACAAATGCTAGTGTTCTTGTGGACAGACTCTACGATAACTCTAAACTAATACGGGGCTAATACAGGGCCGTCCAAGTAAATGGATAATTTACGTAGCCAATCGAGTTACTGAGATTCATCATTTAGTATCAGATGCGATGTGGAGTCATCTGCTAGACAATCAGAATCCAGCTGATTATGCATCACGAGGACTGTTGCCAAGCGAGCTGTTGGAGCAGGACACTTGGTGGAAAGGTCCTGAATTTCTGTATGGTGATCGGCCTCTGAAGATCGTTACCGCACCGCCCAAAAAATGTGAACTGGAAGCCAAAATGCAAGCAAGTGGTGTCGGAGGTGATTGCCAGAGAAAGTCAGAGAGACAATATATTGGCCGCAGAGGAGGTGTTCGACAGCGAGAAGACATGGATTCGCTGGACGCAAGCAACTTGCTTCAGAGAAAAGTTGTTATCAATTCAAGCCAATATCCCTCTTTCTGCTCACAATCTCTTGGCCAAATTGACTCCATTCCTAGATCACGAAAACATCATGAGAGTGGGTAAAAGACTGAAGTATTATCTGCTGTCCTATGATGAAAAACATCCCATTATTTTACCCTCTCAATCTAAACTAACTTATTTAATTGTAGAAGCTTGTCAAAAGAGAACTCTACACAGAGAGATTCAATTCACCTTGGGAACTTTGCGTCAACAAGTCTGATTCCCTCGAGGTAGAGCTATAGTAAAAATATCCATCCATCACTTGCGTGAGATGGCGGGTGGCTACAGCTCAACAAATAATATCAGATCTGTCTCGATTCAGATGACTCCAGCGCAGCCATTTCAATATGCTGTAGATGTGGTGCTGTAGATATGGTGTAGATTACGCTGGTCATGCTGCGAACATTGTCCGGACGAGGACACAAAGCAACAAAGACATTTTTGATGGTATTCGTCTGCTTGTCCACCAGAGCTGTGCACTTGTTATGTCTAATTACTCAGCGAACGCCTTTCTTGCCGCCTTTAAATGATTTGTGTCTCGGCTTGTGCATTGAAATTTTTAGTGATTGTGGCACGAACTTGAATTTCGTGCCGCTGAATTTCACAACTGTTTACCTCATACAGCTGAGAGCGACGAGACATCCATAAGGGCCTGATTGCACTGGGAGTAAAGTGGCGCTTCAATTCTCCGACAACTCCTCACTTCGGCGAAATTTGGGAGGCAGCCGTCTGTAAAACATCATTTACGACGAATTCTTGAAAGCAACACATTAACATTTAAAATGATCACGTTACTCATTCAAATCGAAGTCTGCCTCAATTCAAGGCCCTTGTCAGTGCTCACCGATAATCCGGAGGATGTCTCAGTGCTGACTCCATTTTTTAATCAGCTATCACTTTCTGAGCCATCAACGCTGCAGATACCTGCATCAAGGTTGTCTCAATGGCAGCTTCTTTAACAAATGCGAGATCACTTTTGGTCTCACTGGGCAGAATACATCAAGGGCTTGACAACTTGATTAAAGTGGCAGCAACTAAATATTAGGTCTATGCATAATTTCGTAGGGAAAATCGAGTAAATTTCAAACGCAAAATATTTAGTAAAAAAAGTGATTTTAATCAACTAAATATGTTTCATTCTGTTCAATGACTTTCTGCCATCTCTCCACGAGCTTCATTATCCCTCTTTCATAGAAGTCCTGAGATTTTTGGGCAAAGAAGTCATCCAAGCTTTTAAGAACATCCAGGGAACTAAAGGTTTTGTTATTCAAATTGTTCTGTAGCGCCCGGAAGTAAGAATCTGAAGGTGCAAGGTCCGGACTATATGATGGGTGCACCAAAACATCCCATCCAAGCCGCAATAATTTTTGCCGAGTCATCGGAGAAACGTGTGGTCTAGCGTTGTCCTGGTGGAACACAATACCCTTTCTATTCGCCAATTCGAGCCGTTTCTGATCGATTGCTCGCTTTAATTTGGCCAGTTGTGAGCAGTACTTGGTCGAATCAATCATTTTGTTAGGTGGCAGCAATTCATAATAGACGATTCCTTTCCAATCCTATCAGATACTGAGCATGATCTTCTTCGGGTGTAATCCAGCCTTTGCGACCGTCTGAGCAGCCTCTGAGCGCTTCGACCATGATCTTTTTCGACTGACATTGTTGTAGGCAATCCACTTTTCATCGCCAGTGATCATCCGCTTTAAAAATGGTTCGTTTTGATGGCGTTTAAGTAGCGAATCGCAAGCTGAAATTCAGTCATTAAATTCTTTTCGCTCAGTTCGTGCGGCATCCAAACATCAAGCTTATTTACCATCCCAAGCTTCCGTAAATGTCTCGAAACAGTTGATTGATCAATGTTGAGATTATGTCCAATCTCTGTAGTCGTCAAATGCCGATTGGAGTCGATTAAAGCCTTGATTTGATCGACATCAGTAGTGACTGGCCGACCAGAGCGAGGAGCATCTTGAAGATCAAAATCTCCACAACGAAATTTCGCAAACCATTTCCGGCACACACTTTCGCATGGCATTTTCTCCATACACGATGCATATCTTTTTGTGAGTTTGCGACGCGTTTTTGCCTTTTCGGAAATAAAAAAGCGAAATACACCGAAAATACACGTTTTTTCCGTCCATGTTCAAAATATAATTAAACTTCGTATACGTCACGGATCTCGATGAATACTTTTTTAAAATGTCGGCACAAATTTTAGCTTTCACTTAATGTACGACACATTTTATATGTTTGACATGTACGAGCGAAAAAATAATTGTGAACGATATCTGTCGGAATTTTGTTACGGAATTATGCATAGACCCAATACTTACATTCAGTCAAGGCTTCTCTGCATCCCGACACGTGAAGCAACAGCCAGAAAGATAGTTATTAGCCCGAATCCAGAAAGTGTACCCGGATGCTGATGAACACACAGTCGTCACACAAAATCGCGACCGCTGAGCTGTGAGGCCCGTCACAAAATTTGTGATACTTCCTGTGGCTAGCCGCCGCCGCCGTCGCCGCGCCGCCATGTTTTCATCTTCTCTTTTCGTTGTGCTTTTTCTATTGTATCTATTGTATTCTATAGTCTCTCTCTCTCTGTCTCTCTCTCT